AGAAACCAAATTTTCTTTCTTCTTTGATGGGAAAGCATCCAAAAAAGTTTAATTTCAGCTAATATCTAGTATAAAATAATTATAATTTATAATAAACTTATAAAATACATTTATAAAAAATGAACAAAACAATTATCTCTCCTCTTGATTAATAGCATTTCCAAATAATGAAATAAACAGATTCAATAAATAGATTGTCATGAAAAATGAAAATATAACTAATAAAAATGTCAAAGTCCAGTTATTGACTAAACCCCACAAAGAAACTGCACTTGAATTGCCTAAAAACAAAATCATTATTAATTTTTTTTTGAAATAAATTTATTTAAATTATCATTGTATAATACCTGTTAGCATAAAATATACTGCTAAAATGGAAGTACTAAACATCGCAAATAAATTTGTATTATCATCAGGAGTTTCAATAAGTGATGATTCTCCAATTGTACCATTAGATGAAATAAACTTATAGGTTAGAACAAGATTCCAAGAATTATTAAAATCGTCAGTATTACTTGGTTGATCATAAGAATATTCACTGGTAGGTCTTAATAAGAGATGTAAAGAATGGCAAAGGCTAAAACCATAATGCCTAAAACAATGAGAAATGAAAAGATTTGTTGTGCTACTCCAATCATAATTGCAAAATATGTTCCAAAATATTCCAAAGCACAGAAAAATAATAAAAATTTAATTTCAAGCAAAAAAGAAGCAATAGTCACAATCCAAATTTGTGGGTTTTCATCATGTAACCATATGAATGAAGTTAATATAAGAGGGTATGGGTCAAAATCCCGACAAACAAAATCCCGACAGGTCATAATCCTGACAAAAAAATCCCGACAAACAAAAATCCTGACAAATCCCAACAAACAAAAAAAGTGTTCATTTGAGCAATCTTACTATATAATTGCCTAAACCCTAACCCTAACCTGAGCGCACACCCTAACCCTACCCTAACTTAAATGAACTTAATAATTTTTAGTCGTCGGGATCTGTCAGGATTTTTGTTTGTCAGGATTTTTTTGTCAGGATTATGACCTGTCGGGATTCTGTTTGTAGGGATTTTGACCAGCACCCTTATAAAGAAATAGTATTGCAGCAAGAACTATAAATAAAGTTAAATAATTAAATTATATAATTAGAAATATCCAATATCATAACACACGTATTACTGTATTAAATTATTAAATTAGATATATATACCAAACTAATTCCAAGGACTAGCAATATAAGATATTGGTTTATGAATACATTGACGAGCTTCAAAACTAAGATGAATAAATCCAAAAAAGATAGTCGATATTATAGATGCAGACTTATTTACGTCACTAGTTACGACTCAATTGAGCCTTATTTTATAAACCAGTTTTTTATATAGGACGTAACTAAGTGATGTCATAAGTCTGCATCTATAGTTGATATCAAAAGAATCGCTTGATAATGCCAAGAAATTGTATTTTCTGGAATTGTTGAAACTATTAAAAAGCACCACATAAAAATTAAATATACTGTCTAAATTATAAAATAATATTGTCTTCCATAGGTATTCCACTTGAAGTTAATAAGAGCTTTAATATTCCACCATTTATAATAATAGGACGAATAAAGTGAAGTAAAGGAATTATCAGATACATGAAATAATTCAAAATAAGAATAATCTTTAGGATATGTGGCAAAATTCAATAAAGGAATCATTAACTTTACAGTTTTTTGTAAATAATTAGTAAAATAATCTGAATAAAACAAATAAGGAGATATTAACATTTTCCAAATTTTGGGGTATTTCTTTTCTAAAAATTTCCATTTTTCAGAAAACCAAAAAAGCAAGTAATCAAATGATGAAATTATAGATAAGGACGTATGATCATAAATTCCACTATGTTGAAGATGAAGTAATAGAGAATAATTATTTATAGCTCTATAATAGTTATCAGGAACCAGTAAATTAATCTTTGATAAAAATTTTTCGGTAATTTTTAAATTTTTATTACTTTCTTCTAATTTTATCAGCACAGAAGCAATTTGACTTATATACAACATAAAGTCGTAAATATCACCACTCTTAAATGCTAAAAAACTATAGTTCGAACAATTAGCAAATAATTCCTCAATTTGCTCTTTGCGTTCATCTTGAACTAGTTGATAGAATACATCTTTTCCATATAATTTTAAAACCAATTCATTATTTATAAGTTCATTTATCCAATACCAATAGAGAGTTGGGGTGGTAAAAATTTAAAATTTGATTTATTAATCTTTTCAATAAAGGAAGTAAGGGGTCTTTTAGTTGATTGTCGAGCAGTTTCTTTTTCTTTATTATCTCTATCACTCCAATAATAAATGTGGCAGATCATAACGAAATCGGATTAAAATGAAACTGGGGACCTTTCTTGTTCATCTTTAAAGCTTATAAAACCCATTTATACTCTTTTATTAATAAAACTAACTCTAAACCATAACTCTAACACTAACCCTAACCCTAAAAATGTCCCCAAAAAATTTTAAATTTTCCTAAAAAAATAGAAAATTTTCATTTTAATCTGATTTCATTTTAATCAGCCACAATAATTACCTTTATAGATGTATCAGGGTAATTTTTAAAATAATCAATTGGAGTAGTATTTATAATCCAACTATATGAATCTCTGTAGGATAATTTTTTAGGTTTGTCTGAATAACTCTGATTTAAAATTTGATCTGACTCACATTTTTCTAAGATATCCTCTACGAATTGCTTAATTTCATTTATGCTAAAAAATGCATTACTCGCGTAATGTTCTTGATTTTGTAAATAAATTTTCCAACTTTCATTATGTGATAATCTTTGAATTGACGAGTCATTAATATCAAGATTTATAATAAAATCAGAAATGATATTATATTGATATTTGTAATTTTCATATGTTGGAGAATAAATATGTAAAAAATTTTTACTATCTTGAAGCTTAAATGTGTAAGGATTCATTATATAAGAGTTATATTTTTCTGTATTATTTTGCGGGCCAGAGAAAAACAGATACTCCCCTTTTGATCCAATAAAGCAAAAATTGTGCAATTTCTCTTTAAATGAATCTGAATTTTAAATAAAAATTAATAGTCTCTTATTTAAAGATAACTATATATATAGAATACTTACGTTGTGCTACCAAAGCACCAGATTCTGTTGAATAAACATGGATTAATGTTTCACCATTTATTGTATAATCAGCTACTGCTAACAATTTGTAATCATCATTCATTTCTAATTTCATAGTATACGGAACTAATTCCAATCTAATATATATTGAGTCTCAAGCTTCAGAGTTTTTAAATTCCATTGCATGATTGCAAAGGATATTCCAAAAACTAATAACAATCTTCCATTTTTAAAGATAAATGACCTCACAAATTGTTTAAGTTTGATGATATTCTTACATTTCCATTGCTTTCCATTAAACTTTGAAAAGATATAGGCCCAATAAACGGGATATCCTTTGACAATTGCCAGATCTTCGTTTTCAAGAAAGGTAATAGTATTGAATAAATATCCTTTTAATCCTTGTGCATTTAACTCTTGTTTTAATTTAGTTGTAATGTCAATTATTTCTGATAAAATAATTTTGCTAATATATTGTAAGTTAGAATTAAAACATTTGCGTTTAATAAATTTAACTAACCAAAAGTATAAGGATCGTCTCTATATATTTCAAGTATAATTTGTTTACAGTTTGAAACTCCTATGAAATTATTTCCCATGTTTTTATACATCTGTTTATCGGTATTAAAATAATTTGTTGGAGCTCATCGGAGCTTATTGACTTATCAAACTTGAGTTTAAGTTCTTCATGTTCTTCTGTAATGGTCCATCCGACAATTGATTGATCTTCGTCGCTCCAGGTTACAAAGTATTGCATGTTTGGTAAAAAAACATATTTACTTATTTTCTTTCCTCCGTGCGGCAGATTACTATTTCGCTTTTCTCTATGTGAAGCATCTTCATCTATATCAATTCATTTTAGGCGAATGAGAATAATAAATTAAATGAATGTTAATTCTATTTAAAGGCGTAAAATTCAAGATGAGGCTTTCTGATTGTATTTTGAACTTATCTATGTTAATTTCTTGCGATGAAACAACTGTTATTCAATATTTGAAAATTTTTACCAGCCTTTGAAAACAATAATATATGTCCTGAAATCCAATATTGATCAATTTGACAATGGCTTAACTTGCATATTTATATTACATGTTTATTGAATTATTTAATATATAGGATTACGAACGATGTTGTTCTTTTTTTTTATATAATGTATAATCATCATTAGCCTGTTCAGTTATTTATTATATAAATCTTTATAATCTTTGTTGTTAAATACAATAAATGTTGAAACAAGTGGATATACTTCATAATCACTAAAGGTGTTTATTACATTAATTCCCTCACTACTTCTTACTA